GGCCCCCGCCAGCGCCCGGCCGCAGCACAGAGGGACACGTGTTTGTATCCAAACCTTTATTAGAACAATCCCCAAGAGCTGAAAACAGTGAACAACAAAGTGACACACTCCCGTTAGCAAAGGTACTGCAGCAGCGCGTGCCCGTTTCTGCACAGCAGAAGCAACAACGTTTAGAGCTCAAACTGTCGTGCCCGTGTCAATTTGGTTTTGTCAAGGTGACAATTTAACAATCACCGCATCAATGAGACAGTGACCTCCATCCCGCTTCTTAAAAAGCCTTTCCCGTGATTTTACAAGCCGGTGTTCGGGACAAATACACGTGGATGCTCTGCAGCAGAGTAACAGACAGTATCAGTAGCACCAGTGTTACTGGAACATGAATAAACAGTTCTCTTTCCAATTGGATCACAGCGCAGTACAAATTAACATCACCTCAAAATCATCACCTGTATCAAAAGTTTAAAAATTTAGCATAATTTATAAACATTTCTAGAACAGCAAATGGTCGGTCTCGGAGTGAAGGCTGGGCGTTATGCATATGGCAAACAAACTCATCGGACACGCCAGCTTCTCCTTTCCTCTCAGTACTCGAGCCCAGCTCTCCTCGCAGCAACAGGTACAATGGTACGGGCGCTGGAACCCAAAGCAGAACCAGTGTTCCCAGCTCAGGAGATCACCATGCCATAAATTAAAGCTATAAACGACTGTACTACTGAAAACGGAACAACTTGCATTGGTTTTATTGGATTATTTGACCACAGCCATTGCGGGTTTCCTCCCGGACCACACAGTCCGTGTCTTCACCACGCTGCAGGAGCTGCATCCTGCAGCCAGACACAGCCAACAGCTCTGCCACAGTTCACTGCGTATCAGTTAATTGCAAATAAGGAGAGCACGGCTTTCCTCACCAAACCTTTCCTGTTGTGCGGTCCACATGGTGCGAATAAACTTCAGAATAGAAGCCAGGTGAAGTGACAGCCCGTAAGGCACTTTGAGAGGACACAGCTGTCCAGGCTGAGCAAGGCGCCCAAGGGAGACAGACATTATACGTCACCCAGGAGAGCCAGTCTGTTCTTCCCTATCACTCCTCTGACAACCGCTTGCAGAAGAACACTTACTGACTGTCCAGAATTAGCTTGACACTGCACTTGCCAAAATCTTTTTCCTGTTCTACAGCAGAACATGCAACAGTACAATATCTCATCCTTTCAAACAGTAGCGTCCAATTCAGTAGTGACCATTCAGCATCCTTGAGACACCCGAGAATCTGCTGCTGCATACTACTTGGAAAAAACCACCTCAGCATAAGAAATGATCCCATCTTTCTCATTTCTTTGTTTTGTGTCTGGGGTTACTTCTTTTTCTTTTTTTTTTTTTTTTTTTATATTTCCCTTTTTTACAAAATTTGAAGGCTTGACATTAAACCTTTGGTATAAAACGTGTAAATGAAAGCCATCCATTAATACATCCTAGGGAGGCACAATGAACCCAACCAGAAGTAAACCAAACATGACTGTGGGGATGTGATAACGGGCGCTTTCTACTGTCTATTGGTTTCTACATTCTGCTTGCTTGTGGGGTCCATAAACGGGGCTTCCTGCCTTCCCAAAGCTTCTCCTGGGGCCAGGCAGGACCAGGACCTGCCGAGCCCTTCACCAGCAGCAGCGCAATGGGCTCCCGCCTCCTGTTCAGTCCCAGCATCACCTCCTTCCCCTGCACTCTCAGCACCAGACACCCACCAGCGTGTGCCACGTGTGTCATATCTGCCATGTGTGCCACGGGGCTGGGCTCATGGGGCGGCTGGGCACATCGTCACCAACTCCCATGGGCTCAGGAGCAAAGCACACAGGACTTAACTGACAGTGTTACAGACACAGACACTGCAGATTCCACTCTCTGAAGTGAGGGATGGAATTTTTGATTTTACACCAAATAAAGCGACAAAGGACATGTCCAGATCCATGCACATCACCACTAGGACCTCCTCTGTGGTGCAAGGCTGCAGACTTGGC